GTGTGTGTGTGTGTGTGTGTGTGTGTGTGTGTGTGTGTGTGTGTGTGCGTGCGTGAGAAAAATAAAGAGGAAGATCTCAAGGATCAAGGACAACCTTTTATTATTAAACGGTACAATAGTACTCTGTTGCATATTCTGTAGCTAAGCCACCAATCTACAGTACTTCCTGTTTACACCGGCACTCGCATGCCCAGTTCACGTGAATGGTCATGTGATATTCGTTTTCAGGTGTGTTGGACGCAAATCATTTCTAAAACGGTGCTGAAGCACTCGTGTGGAGATTTTAAAATGAAAACGCATTATTGTCGAATTAGCCTTAGTCGACTAACATTTATACCATTAGACTTAATTTCGTTGCATATTTTCACGATGACGATAAACATCCTTATCCTTATTAGTTGATTTAATTGACAGATCTTTAAGTCAGGATTTAGAAAAAAATGACAACCGCTAACATTGTGTATATTAAATGTTTTCCATAACATTGTTTTTTTACATTGCATATGTGTGCATATCTTTTGATATTCAATTTGTTATCAGTTCAAAAGTACCAAATACTTGACTGTGCTCCTTGCAGGTTCTGAGATACAGACATTTTCTCATCGTTCTATATCTACGGTTTGGGTTTTTCCGGAAATATAGTGCATCATTGCCAAAAAGTAGTTACGTGTGTAATGAGAATTATTTTTTTTTTTGTCCGATTTCTGCTTCGACAAGCCCAGAGAACATTTCCACCAAAGAAAATGAAAACAGGGGACCTAAGAATACGTTGTATTGTATTAAAATAGTAACATTGTTTAACTGGAGACTTCAAAAGCATGATTGTGTTGTTTAGCCCACCATGTCTACCGTTTCATCTTAAATCTATACATCTTGGCATAAAGTGCTGTATCAAAGGCAAAGTAGAGACATTATATTAGAGGTCTGCACTGTCCCGCAGACTTTTGACCTTAATCTGTATTCTGCCCCAGTTACCATCATATTTCACCAAATCATATTATTTAATCCGGATTGTAAAGCTTTATAAAAGATTATCTTAAATGCTGTTTGTGCGTGTTCAGTTCACCAACACTAACAAATACACATGTTGTGTGTGTGGCCTATTATGGCGAACATTAAGCTATCTAGTCTGCATCCTAACAGCTTGTGAAGATGTTGCTGCCCAGGCAGGAACGTGGCCCTGGAAAGCACCGCGTTTCCACTCATTGCTGGGCTGACCCGTTCTCCACAGACCTCTCAATCGTGTTGCTTAGGACTGATTTGAATTTGTCTCAGGAGTTTCCGTATTGGACTTGTTCTTTTCGTAAAACTTGGCGCGAAAGCCACAAACTGGTATGGTTTGCCGAGTTTCAACTTAATATGACCTCGGCAAACTTCTAAGGACCTGTCGAAATAATTTTCGGGACAAGATTTACTCGCGTAGCTGTTGGTACAGGTGCTAGGAATGATCTGCTGACTTGCTCTGTGTGTGTGTGTGTGTGTGTGTGTGTGTGTGTGTGTGTGTGTGTGT